ATATACGTAAGATATTATTTAGAGCTATTGGGACGGTTATGACCCGAATGTTAACCCCAACATTCTCTCGGAGTTTTCTGCAGCAGCTTTTAGGATTGGTCACACATTTTTGCCTACTTCGATTGAGAGATGGAGCAAAGCTCATAAATTTATAGGTAAATAATAATGAATCAACACTAATACATAAATAGTTTTAATAGTACATTAAAATATAMGTAMAATTATTAAATAATTTTWMATTAATGTTCATTTAGCTTCTAAAAAATTRTCCGACCTTATCCGCCGTCCATATGATTTATATAGAGCTGGAGTTCTCGATGAGTATATAATGGGTTTGACTAATCAAGTTGCTCAGGCTATGGACGATTCAGTAACACAGGAGGTTACGAACATGTTGTTGAAAAAACCGGGCCATAGGTTTGGAGTGGATTTAGTGTCATTTAATATCCAAAGAGGCAGAGATTTTGGATTACCCGGATACATGGAATACAGGTAAAATATTGTTTGRCGATTAGTGTAATATTATTTATTTTTACAAATAATTATAATACAATGTGTTATAATACTTCATTAATTAAAAATAAAATTATTTGGGTATTATCTTATTTTTAAATAATAATGAGTTAATTAATATTGTTCTCTTACATAAGTCTGCCTTCCGAACGATAACTGTTTAAAATCATACCATTCAGTTTAAAAACATGGTTTTGTGAATATCAGGACTATGTAAAAATGTTTTACATAACCTATTCAGTGTGTGTTAGATATTAACTTGGGGCCAGGAAGACAGTGTAAGATTGTAAGCCTATCAATAAATTTGAATTGTTAGATGAATGTATGAACTAAGGATTCGATACATTTTTTTTGCCCCTCCGTGGCCTTTCAATGCGTGGGGCTTTGTGTCATTACACAACTCGAACCTATATCAAGTAGGCCCTAACAGCAAGAGTGGGAGATCGTTGTGGTTGATTATATACCTCATTAAATATAGTTATAGCAGTGCAGCTCTGATTGGTAACCTGCAAATCATAATGTATACAACATGACAACATCGTCATAATTCGTCCCTTATAAACATGATTTAATAGTCCATATTATATATTAGTTCATTAATGAAAMATTAAGTTAATCAATTTATAATGCAACTTTATGGCATTAGTTATATAATTGCGTTATATTGTTTACAATTTATTTGCAATATAATATACAAAATATACAACTTAAATTAACTATTAAGGCGTATATTATTTTTTCTCTTAAGATGTTAATAATGTTTATACTATATTGTAGGTTTGATTGTAGTGTTTCCTTTATTATATATTATGTTATGTGGAGTTTTACTGTCATATTTTTTGTTTGTAACTTAATAATTGTTTTCAATTATACGAGTACTAATTGGGCTACTAAATTTAGTTTTACACTTAACTTTTATGCTGTAAGAAGTATTTACAATTTTTATTGTAATTAATGATGAAAATGTTATTTCTTTTAGAAAGTTTTGCGGCTTACCATCGTCAGACTTATTTCAAGATTTATCCGGAGACATGCACAACTCCACTATTCATCGATATTCGACCATATACGAGTAAGTTAGAATCCAGAAGCTTAAGATCATAATTATTTTAGTTAAATTTTATTCTTACAGCTCTCCAGAAGATGTAGATCTCTGGTCTGGTGGTGTATCCGAAAAACCATTACCAGGAAGTATGGCAGGTCCGGTATTTTCGTGTATTTTGGCTACCCAATTTAGCTATGCCAAAAGAGGTGATCGTTTTTGGTACGAACTACCYAATCAACCATCTTCTTTTACTCCAGGTACTCAAGTCAAACAATACATATTATAATATATAAACAATCAAAGAGTAAAAATGTAATTTTAAATAATGTTTAGATCAACTACACGAAATCAGAAAAACAAGATTAGCCAGAGTTTTATGTGATAATACCGATTTGATCGACACTATTCAACTGTGGCCAATTGTTCTTCCTGATCATGAAATGTAAGAAATATTTCAATACCCTACCCTCATATTTTAAATTTTCTTGTTATCATCCATAATATTAAGTTATTTATATTAAGATAAAGTTTAATGCAACTTTTTAAAAACATTTTATACAAAAAGCATATAACATAATTTGGTCTTAAACGATTTAAATAAATATATTTAAAAAAAATTAACTTCATTATTGTGCATTACAAATAAAATGTTTTGTTTTTAAATTGAATAA